GTAAAGAGCCAAATACGGAGGTGCAATCTCAACAATGAGATAGAAGTCTATCAAATCATACAACATATATATATATATATATATATATATATATATATATGTTGTATGATTTGATAGACTTCTATCTCATTGTTGAGATTGCACCTCCGTATTTGGCTCTTTACCCCCACCCCGCGATTCCGCTCTCCCCTCGACACAATCATGATCTGTTCAGCTCGTAGTATTTTTGCCAAGCGCAAGTTTTTCTTGTACATAGTGGTGTATCACGCTAGTTTACACTTTGTCCTGTATTATTATGATGACTGCTGGCTCGTTCACGGTTCGGTTTCCCTTCTTGTATCCGGAAGAGATGGCCAGTACCACGGGTCTTCGTATTCCTGTTCTCGTCTTCGTACAAGTTTTTCATTTTTATCTTTGCTAGTAAATGTCATATATATATATATATATGTGTGTGTGTGTGTGTGGAGAAACTGTTCCCGTAGTAGAAAATTGTATAGTGCGATAGTAATTGATATTATGTCCGAGTTTTTTGTTTAGCTACATTAGTCATCAACACTTTTTCTCGCTCTAGCATGTTTTTTCTCTTTCTTCTCCACCCAGTTTGCTAGTCATGTTCTGTAACCACGTGACGGTTTCAACACCATACGTTGTTGCATTCATTCCGTAACATCAGTCACTGAGATTGTAGATTTTTTGGCCCATCTCATCAGTATCTTACTAGTAACATCTCGAGATGACGGTCTTTTTTCCTACAATCGACTTCAATTGATCGTGGTTCTTTGTTGTAACATCTTCCTCATCACATTGTTCTCACATGCCAGTTATCTGTGCTATTGTTAACTAATAGTGTTTATTTTTCCGTGAGATAGTTTGAAAACAACGTTAGAAGTGATAAAGAATCAAGATCACAATGTATTCGTCGTTGCACCGAAGTGTATATATCGTTGTCCTTATACTGGACTCCTAGGAAGGAACGTAGGCAAAGAATACCAACTGAAACGAATAGGAATTCAGCACATAAAGGGACACCACATCAGTGATGAGAAGGCTCTAACGCCTTTTAACCTTAGGCAGTGAAAGATGGTGGTTTAAACCTGAGTTCTAAACACCAGGCTATAATCTATTAGGACCACGCGTGTTGACCGGAACAGCTGGAGGAGCTGAGTGGAGACTCTAGAGGTTAGTAGTGTGATTACCTGATTGAGTTCATTTCGCACAATGTCCGTCCAAGGTTTCAGAACAGGAGGCAGAACTGGGTCGGATGTCGTTTTAAAAAGACGTTTTGGCTGACTGTTACATAACTGTAGACGGATGCGAAGGCGCGTGGCTGGAAATTTGGAGATTACTGACTATTATACTGTGTCTTCTGAACAAACTTCTGATGACAATTTAACGTATTATTTACTGCCTACTCTTTTTAACGGCAAGGTATACATTGTGAAATATAACTTCAATGATGCTGAGATATTTGCAAAACTCCGGACCGCAGGTGTATGCGGTGGGGAACGAACGCGCTATTGTCCTTACCGAGGAGTAGCGCACTTCACCACCACACCATCCGGGTCCTTCGTTTTGCCTGTCTCTCAGCTAGTTCTATCGATCTTTTGCCATCAGGACAAAAGGATTTGGCCCCCCAGATCAATCCCGTCGACGGGTGATTGCTGATGGCAAAACATCGATGGAACTAGCTGAGAGACAGGCAAAACGAAGGACCCGGATGATGTGGTGGTGAAGTGCGCTATTCCACGGTAAG